TATATACACATATATATATATATCTTGTATGTACACATTCAAAAATACAAGAAGTACAATAAGGGTACATGCTTAGCCACTTAAGCACCCGGATAAGTGCGTAAGCACCTTGACAGCTGCGAAGATGTCGTCGGCGACCACTTTTCTGAGACAGACATTCACGCCAGCGACTGCTGCGACCGCATACGGGAAGAACCAGCCGTTCAGGTGGAAGATGGGGACTGTCCTTCAGGGGAACCCAAAGCCCCTAGAGCTGGAATCCTGCAAAACTGGAAACGACTGTTCACTGTTCCTAAGCGCCCTCAAACCGGAATCTGCCGAAGTCTCGGGAGCCTCAATGAAAAGATGCGAAGCCTACACCATGAATGCCAGTTAGCCAGGTAAGTCTCACACCCGTCCACAGGTCGTCGCAGGGAGCCCTAAAAAGCAATCAGTCCCGCCCTAACCCCATGAAGAGTCCAGAGGTAGACGCAGTGTCGGTGAAGAGGCCACTTGACGATCAGATGTACGCTTTTGAGATAAGCACCCCGGTGGTGCAGCAAGACGCCTTTTGGATCTGCAGTCGTGCCGCTTGTGTAGCACCTGTCTTCTTCTGGATTGCAAGGGGTTCCAGTTTGACCGCTCTCACTCGAACTATCAAAGTCGAAAGCCTGAAAGTCAAAAGTCTCGACACCCAATCCCCAAAATTTTGGCGCAGAACACTACCGTTGTTCAATTCCTCTAGATCCCCCCGAAACAGCCCAAGGCACAGGGAGAGCGTGTCCCACTCGTCTGGAGGTGCTTCCCAAGCTGCCATCGGATCTCCTTCAGACAGCAGCTGCTCGTAGTTCATGGAACCAATCAAAGGCCCTCTGTCCTCAGTGGGCTGTTGGAGTGCAGCCCCCGCAACTTCCCGAAGGTAAGCAGGGCAGGGATGTGGGGCGTACTTTTTTTAGAGCATTCCGCTTGAATTTCAGGCACGAACGAAGCGAACTTTAGTGTTTGGACTGCTGGGATTGGGCCTTACCGCAGCAAGAACAAAGCTTGCCTAGCAATGGCCGAAGTGCCTTCTCAGGACACATGGGGTCGTCCACATCGATCACGAATGGCCGCTTGTTCTCGGGAAACGACGCCAGTACGCCCGACACCAGCTTACTATACTCGCGGTCCACAATCCTCAGATGCAGTCTCAGAACCGGAATGGTGGTGATCCAGAGGCTGGACTTCAGCCCAAGCCCTACACAGTAGCAGGCGATAGCCCGTTGGCAAAGAGCTTTCAGCATAAGTAAACCATTCCTTCGGAAAGATACGCAAAGGGGTTGCATGCTATGCCACTATGCCATAATTGGGCCACAATCCTGCAACAAAATCGGCGAAGGGCGATACTTCGATAAACCAGACCCGAACATTCATGGGCCGCAAAAGCGAGAATTGGGACTGTGGGGGGGGGGGGGGGG